AGGTTTCAAGAAAAAAGAAAAGGAAAAGAAAAAGGAGATAATTGTTAGGGATAAATAAGAACAGCTCTGTGAAACTGAAGTGTGAACTGATTGAGAAAAAAGTCAAGCCAGTACCTTTCCTAAAATTCTAATAAATTTAATCTACCTATCTAAACCAAATCTATTACAGTTTTCTCTCAAATCCATCTTTTCTCCAACACTGGAGGTCTGCTACATCTGCTTAAGTGCACCACGAACTCTGAACTACAACTTTCTGACCTTGTAAAATCACTAGGTACTACCGAATCTTCAAATAAATGACGAGAGATTGGAGATACTTTGTGATTCAGCAATAACTTAAATTGCGTGAGATTTATATAGCTTTTAGTCAAGTGGAGAATTTAACAAAAAGACCAAAAGAAAACAAAAAGGCATATATATATGAAGCAAAAAAGAAGCGAGGGAAGGCACAGACACAGGACATCAAAAAAAAGTGAAAAAATAATGAAATTCTTCTATTTCCAAACCACTAGAGAACAATCAACTTGTTCATACAGAAAATGAAAATGAACAATTGTCAAAGTTCCAATTCTGGATCAAGATATACTTCACTGGCTGCAGAGATCCCTTAAGTTTGTCACCCTGTGCTCTTGTGATCCTGATAAGACTAGCCATCTGGCACTGTGAAAACAAGCATTTTAAATAATTACATCAATTTATAATATGTTTTATTTATAATGAGTACACTGCATTTCACGTCACTTATAACTCTACTAATTGGCTACCAAAACCAACGGACTTGCATTAGACATTTAAAAGAATAACCATGTGAATGAGACTCTCTGTCTGAAAACATTCTTGTCAGTCCTTATTTTCTCCTGGACAAAAAAGTAGCATCATTGGCCAAGATTTTACAAAGTTACAGGAATACATATACAGAGCTATTTCTGAAATAGCTTTTGTGAGAAAGAACTAATGGGGAAAAGGGAGTTTCTAAATTCAGGAAACTATTCTCTGATTAACTTGGACATTTTGAACTACAGCTATGGCAACCTTCTTCACGGAGCAGTTTTCTCTAAACTTTCAGAGTGCACGAAGTTCACATTGGACTACAGCAAGTGCTGTGTTAAGTAATGGGAGGTACAAAATGCGTAATAAAAGTCTTTTTGCACAGATGACTGCCAAGTTCTGCAGGATTTTATTTTCACTTTCTAGTGGTTTAATTGGTTGGTTGAGATACAGAACAAATTAAACTTCAAATATGTGCAAGATACAGGAGAGAAATCTCTAACTACCAAGAAAGATCAACTCATATAGAAGAATGGCAATTTTGAAGCCACAAGATTTCTGTGTGCTTGTTTAGGTGACAGGTGACAGTTTCTGAAATTACTGGTGGAAAGATAACAAATCACTGTGAAAACTTCCATCATGACTGTGATGGCTCTTTAAAAATCAAACAAACTCCATCATGTGCATGTTCTCAGTCTGTCACCATGAACAAAATAACCTGCCTGACATTCACACAAAAGCAGCCATTTTTTAACTGTTAAGTGAGGCATTTTTTTGGGTGGAGGAAAATAAAAAAGGCTTTTAGTACCAAGTTTGGTTTAATGTTGACTGAAGGTAAGGAAAAGACTTAATTCTTCCACACTCTGTATCCACCTTCCACTACAACACTACACTGGTAACAAATCCTTAATTTTCTAGGTGACCACATTCAGAGCTAGGATGACAGCCTCATTTCTAGAATATGGTTCCTGAGAAATCTTGAGTTTAGAGTTAGCCAAATTCTAATCTCCTCACTCAAGTGACCTTGGGGATTTTGACCATCAAACTGAAAGGACTTTAGAGGTTGTGCAGGTGGGTTGTTTTTTTGTTGTTTGTTTTAATCTGAGAGATACCTAAATGAAAGAAGTTAAATGCGTAAATATCTATTGGAGAATGTTCCCATTCTCATCAAACAGGTATCACTTCCAGAGCACCAATGGTCCCTGTGTTATCTATATATTTATGACAGAGGGCATATTGCAGTGGAGGTTTGATAAACTGTATAAATTTACCATGGGAAATTGAAAAAAGTTATATACTATAAGATTCATCAAAACTCAAACTCAGTAGCAAGACAACAGGGAATCAAAGGTCAGCAAGCTACACAAAATTTCACATCATTTTGATAAGTCACTCTTTTGCCATCTGGCTCTCTACAACAACAAATCTAACATCAAAAAGGCACGCCCATAACGCTGGCTGGTGATGACTTGTACACTCACGTTATCAAATCCAGCTGCCTCCACATACATGCTGAAACTAGATACCTGAAGCCCAAGGATGCCAGTGAAACAGATTTAGTTCATCACATACTGAAGAAATATTCATTAAGATCTACTATCTATAAAAAGTGTTTGCAATTAATCCAAGATAAGAGATGGCACTTGCAATAAGTAGCTGCTTATAAAAGGCTTCTTACGCATGTCACATTCATGGCATTAGTACATTACTCAGTAATGAGCTACATCAATGTGCTGGAAGTTTTAAAACTTGGCAGTCCTGATAATTTGAGTGGCTTCCTCCTTTTGCGCAGCTTCAGCTGAGGGTGAATCATAGCAGAGAATTAAGAATGAAAATACTTGAACTTCAAAAGGTCTTTCCCTCCAATGACGACAAACATACTAGCTAGAACCAAAAAAGAAGTCTTGTGGCAAAGTTAACCTTATTAATTTAGATCTCTTCATTTTTAAAGTTCCTGTTTATCACTGATTTAGTCTTAACTTCCAAAAAGTTGAAAAACTAAGGAATGATATTTTAAGCCTGGAAGTGGTATATTTAGATACAATTTAGAATTCTCTCTTCGCTTTTTTTTTTTCTCTAACCACAGACAGGAACCATCTTGCCTTGAAGTTTCCCCCTTTATTTTCCTCAAATATAGAAGCTAAGCTTAACTGAAAACAGCTATTAAAATCAAATAGGATTGTAAAAGGTACCAATGCATCATGACTAAAATCCAAGTTGATTCAAGTTCAGATCTTCTGCACTGATCATTGTATTTTCTGTTAATGTATGGGAAAATAAACCAAGTATCTGCTATTGAGATTCTAATTTCATAAAGTCCAGCAAAACATCAGTAATCGAGTGCTGTACTGTTTCTTGTGCTTTCATGGGACACAATGAGGCATCTCTGAGCTTGGCCATATACTGTTTTCAAATAAATCAGACAACATAATTACAAAGAATTTATCTCAATGCAGAAAAAATAACCCTGGATCTCTCAGAGTAGCTGTGGACTTCAGCACGCTTATTTATGGATTAGTCTGGCATTTCATTACAATTGTAATTACTGTTAAAACTAAGAATTAATCTCATCTAATTTTACAGACTAATTTTGCTTGAAGTGGTATGCTTTAATAAATTAAGTAAGATGGTTTTCATATCATCTTAGGAACGTCGGCATTTCACACAATGTAAGTCATTTGGCCGCAAGGTGCAGACCTTACTTGAGCTGACCATCCACTGCTTCTACACCTACAGCCATTTTCTCTTCAGCAAATGCGCCCCAGTTTCCTGCCATAAGAAATTCTTAATATAGCACTTCATCAGATTCAACTAATGCTAAATTTGCATGCTGGAACACATGCATTCGAATCTATTTTAAATGCTGCAAACCTCTTTAAATAGAACCTTATTTTTGAAAGAGCCCAGCTGTAATTTGTTTATACATAAAAGATTTTGGCTTTTTACTCTCCATACAGCAAACACTATTAATGTTTCAGTTTCTCGAGAGACTATATGGATTAGACTAAATGGAAAGTTTCCATGACAACATCACCGTTATTTTAGGTATTAGAAATACATGCCAAGTTAAACAAAGGGCATGCATGGTCAAGAATAACCACTTTATAACTGTTCTGAGAGCCAACAATAAAACCCAACATATTTTTTAAAGTTTTAGAAAAGAAGAGTTAAGCCTTATGCTTAAAATGGGAATGAAAGTGAAAATTAATTACAGTAAGCAAAGAGCATCTTTTAGCTCTCTACTCTGACATTATCTGACATTCGTCCCAGTAAGAAAGAGAAGACTGTCCAATCAGAGTCACTTTTTCAGTGTGCCCACGTGACTGAGCCCCGCATTCTACTTTTAGAAATGGACAGTTAAAAGGCTGCATCACTGGAGGAGAGGAAAGGGGGGCAGCTGTTATCGACTTTTAAGTACTTCCATCAAAGTTTGAAGGCCAACAGGCCAGAAGCTAACAACCTTCACATCCCTCCTCATTGCTAGTGCTCCAGAAAACATACACACACTACACAGTGACTTACACAGTTGACAGTGTTATTCAAAGAACAGTTCAAGCATAAATCTGAAATAAAATTATTTAAAAACTTAGGTGTAGCTCACATATCCTTAAGAATAGTTAGACACCTCACCTGATTAAAATTCAATCCCTGAGTCACTTCTATAAGTGTAATTTGAAATGTTTATAAAGACTTTTTCTTTGCATATAGTGCGTTTTTGCATAAAGTCAAAGATATCCCTGCCTAGGCAGGATGCTCTATAAAGGGTCCTTCCAACTCAAACCATTCTATGAGTATATGATTTTGTGCATACTGTAATTTTAAAACCTCTAAAATATAGGACAAAAAGGACAAGTCCAAAATTGTCTGCAATGTCTAAAATCCTAACCTCCAGAGCACCATTGCCTATGTTTTCAGTAAGTAGGTGAAAAAGTTAAGGAACCAAGTGGTCTGATCAGTTAAATTCTGAAAGTCTGAAACTTCGCTAAAATTCTCTTCAGCAAGTCCAAAACCAGGGCATTTTTTACTTGGTGCCTAAACATAGCTTCAGGCTCATAAAACTGAAAGTTGTTTAAGCTTTTCTCTTGAGATAATGGTGAATTCTAAAGATGCTCTCTAGAACAGAAACACACTGTACCCAACCATCACATAAAAACAAACACTTCTGAACACAACCTAAAAGCATTACTGACTAGCACAGTGTGAATTTACTGTAATTGAAAAAGAGCACCTACCTTGACTCCCATAATAGACTTACGATGATAAAAGCAGCAAAGTGCTGCAATCAGCATTTGAAAAATATTATAATCCTTCGGCATTTTCAATTCTGCTGTTTGTGTTTCCTCAAGACAGTCAGTCACTATAAGCAGTTTTCAAAGGTTTAGCACGATCTTTAGTATCACCACTGTGTGCCCGAGCTGCTACACCCCCCTACTCAGGTATCAGTCTGGGACACTTTCCACAGCTGAAGCTGATACTATCAATTCAGTGGCTTGCAGCTTGCTATATAAAGTGCCAGAATCCTCATGTGATCTGTTTCACTCACCAGTGAAATCCTAGCTTCTCTATCTTGGTATCCCCTGGGTCAGAGATGTATTTAAGACACCAGCCAACAGCTCAAGGCAAACTTCTCTTCTCGATGAGACACAATACCCTGACTGTCTCCCTGTGCTGATAAAGGCTTAATCAGTTGCTCCAGCTCAACCATGCCACATCTCTAACTGCATCATCAATAACACACACATAAAACACAATAAGAAAAAAAAACTTAGAGGAAAAGCAGTTACTGTTTGATGACTATTACTCTACATACTAAGAATTACATCCTTAGAGCTTAGGTAACCAAGGAGAATGATAAATCTGTTTATTTTTAATTATGAAACTTCTGGCAAGCAGTCCTTTCGGGGGAAAAAACTAGAAACAATAAACTAACACTGTCATCATGGTTAGTATTAGTGGTGCAAACAAGGTACCTTTAGTATTTAAAGCTATCAGTGGACAGCTTTAGCTGGGTGATAATCTCATGGGATTGTGCAAACTGCTAGAGAAAGAAAGAACTGAATTCAAGAACATTTCTGCTTTGGCAAAGTAATAATAAATACTAAAACAAAATAAAAAGCAGTTTTATTTATGCCTATGATTCTATTCTCTTGGACAGCACAGACCATAGTTCACTGACCAGTAAAAAAATCACTCACCAACAAAGAATCTGCCCTACATACCTCCAGGCCCTCTCAAGAACAAATGCAAAAAAGGCAAATAACTTGGCTAATTATAACTAGACCTCACCTCCATAGCAGCCCAGTTAACAGACTTGGTGAAAGGAGACAAAACGCAGTGGACTGAGGAGTAGCAGAAAGCCTGTAACACTTCAAGAGAAACTGTTGAGAGATCAGTCATTTATAACTTGAACAGTATCAAATTGTCCAGAAGTCACAGATATTTCAGATCTCAGATTAGGAATAAATTAGTGTCAAGGAATGGTTAAAAGTAATAGTTATTTGCCTTTTTCATCAGTAGCAATTGTATTGCATAATTAGGAGAGCACACACATTAAATGCCTACTGATGTCCTCAGATATTACTTGCAAGGCAAGACTTCTCACCTAATAATAGAGTACTTCCATCCTATGTTGACTGAGCAATGTGAAATGCCCTCAGTGCCTGCATCAAGCAATGGGACTTGGCACAATAAAGGAAGCAGCACCACTGAACACAGACAAGACAAAGTGTGCGCTGCCTTTCAAAGCAAGTGGGATGGAGACCCTACCCAAAAAGAAAAGGAAACCTCAGTCTTGATAACAAGGACAAGAAAGTATGATGTGTAAAGTTCTCTTACCTGTTTGACCACCTAAAGTTTGCAGGTGTCTAGCACCAAGTTTAACACCAAAACAAGAGTGTTCATAATCAGACTAATTGGCCATGTGTAGAAGATGTTATATCTGTGACTCTTTTGAGAAAAGGAAAATGATGTAGGAATAAAAGATTGGAGCATTAAATGGACTTAAAAGTGATTACCCTGGCAAGGATGAAAGATTGGCTCAGAAAAGAGGATGAAAATAATTACTTTGAAGATGGCATCCTGCTATAGCTAGGGAGAGGAAATGCCTCTCCAAGTAGTTTATGAGAAATTCAGACAATGAATGAGTAGATAAAATACTAAAAATGCCAAAGTATGCTCCTTTTCTCCCTACTCCGTGCTGCAGCATATTTTAAAGTTATTTTTCCACTTTGAGCAAGTGCACAGGATTGCTTTAGAAGGTGGCCAGAGAAGAGAAGATGAAAAGACACCGTGCAGAACTGCAAAAACAAAAGCCTTAACTGTGACTTCTTGTCTGGAGTTTTTGGTATTGTAGAAGAACATCTCCTTAAGGAGATTTTTGAAGAATCTTCACCAAGTTCTTATAAGAAGATAGTTCCTGTGCTGCTGGCTACCAGGGAGCTGTTTTCAGCAAGCACGACAGAACAGCTTCAGGCTGCTCCAGATTACACTTAATATGTAGATAAGATTCAAACTTGTAAATACGGACTCAGAGAAACAAAGGATGGCTTAGCCACATTTTCACTCTGCTGTCCTGCGACTTTTTGCTGGTAATTTAGGTTTTTAGACCCTGCAGGTGAGAAATAAATCATCTGTTTTTTGCACCTTGGAAACATCAGATACAATACTTCTGCTAAAGCAAGCTGTTGTTGTATTTCTAATGCTCTTGAGCATCAACAGATCAACCATCAGCCTAATTTCTTTGTTTTTAAAGATGATTGTCAAGAATCTTAAAATATCTGATAATCCCTTCATCCCTTCATTTGACGTTTAAGCATGGCTGGCTAGTGACTTTGATAATTAAATTTATTAAAAAAGGATTTTTAAGTTCAAAGAATTCAAGGCCACATGAGCTTAAGGACACTTGATTATACACTCTGTCTGAGTTCCTAATAGCACATCAGGAAGAGAAATTAAGGTGTCACTTCTGACCTCATCTGTGCTATTTCAGAGCCTTTAGAGTTATTTAGGGTGTTTCCATGGTCTGATTTAAATTACATTTAGCCAGCATTGCATACTGGAACTGTTCCCCTGACACCTAAACTGTGTCCGGCTCCACTCACAGCACACTGAATATGCAGAAGTTTGAAGTCTTCACATTGGATAGCATGAACCTGCTCTGGGGAAATCCTCTTAGACTCCTTTAATTTTACAGGTTAAACAAGATAGAACGTAGGCATAATTTCTGTAGGGGAAATTGGTTTATTTTTCTCTCATCACAAAAAAAATTGAAAATATTTGGATTCAAAGTTGTAAATAGCTCAAGTAAAGCAACCCAAACTCCACAAAAATACAAACACTTGAAAACTCACATGCAGTCTGAAGATATTAAGACAATCTGTAGATCTACAAGAAATTATTTGGAGTAAAATACCACTCATATTCATGAAAGTGCTTATAATTCACACAAAAAATTATGATTTGTAATTTCATGTTACAGAGAAATAATTTAAAATAATCTAAATTAGATGACTGAATTGGTGGCTTGCCACTGCTCCTTTGTACTACATCTACAAGTCATTTAGAACATTTAAATCAGCCTAACAATATCGATTGAAACACATGCAATGTTTTCAATATCCCTCTACTAAATGAAAGTAAATGATCCAGGCAGCAAGCCAGCTGTAAATGAAAGAAGACATGGTGTACAGTACAAGGGTCAACAACATAAATCTGATTTGATACAGCATGCAGCCAATCCAGAGCATGCTGCTCACTGTCGCTGGACTAATGACATCATACAAAATACAGATATGTGCTGATTACACAGTGCACAGGCACAATCTGCTAGGGTTTTGAGTCCCTATGGCTCTAAAACTGCACCTGCAAGGTTGTAATAAAGTATAATATGAATAAAATTTGAAATAAAAGCTCCAAAGAAAATAAAAGCATTTAAGTCTTCAGATTGAAAAACTCCTCATTTAATACATAAGACTTTTCTCTATAACTAGTTATTTTTTCTTTTTAATGTATGGAAAAGTCAGGAAGCAGGGGCAAAAAACTGATAAATAATTTGTCCATGCAAACACCTTCACGATGCCCACTACCATTTAGCCTTAGTACTTAGTCCTTCAGACACGATCCATTGCCTCTAACAAAGTCCTGTGGGGGATGCCTTCAAATACAGATAGTGCCCAACTGTTTATAGCTGAACATTTTTTGAAGCATATATTATGTGGAAGAAAGGGGATGACAACACTGTCAGAAAGTGTAGTTTGATTTTATCTGTTCCTAACTCAACTGCCTACAGGCACATAAACTCCCACCACCCAGCCCATGTCCTACCATTTCCGTGTCAATTCTTAATAGAACTGACTCTGTAACAGGCTGCTATTGGTGCAGCTTCTGATCACAAATCAACAGATACACCTGCAACTGTAATTACACTTGCTTGACTGCATAGGTGTGGCATAATTTCTTCCTCCTCTATTGCAGTTCTGTGAGGCAAATTCAGAAATACACTGCAGTCATATAGGAACAGTGAGAAAACAAAATTTGCATCTATTTAGCTTTCAATGCTGCTTGAATAAATCTCTTTGAAAATCTGACTCCTGTAAAAACCCAGATTGGAGGCCACAGGAAATACCTTATGAGTTTCCTACTAGGTCCTAATTTGCACTTTAAGACATCCAAATATCTTTGAAAAATCTGACCTTTGGTAACTAAAACATACAAGCTTTCAAGTCATCTGGCAATAGGCCTAGGTTTCCTACTAGCCATCTTCCTATTAACAAGCCACCAGCACATTTTATTGATCCTACCAAAAACTAGTATACATATTCTTGAGCTCAATCTACTGTCTGCCAACCCATATACAAACATGAATAATTTTTGTAATGCCTCACTCATCTTTCCCTCAATTTATTCCTTGGATTCAGGAAGAGAAAAAAAAAATGCATGGAATTTCTTCTGTTCAGAATTCACAACTTACGGCTCATATTTTCTTCTTCTCTTCCCTGCTGACTTTAGCTTTGCCAGACAGTATACAATTCCTCTCACATAAAAAATAAGCCATTAACACAATTGCTAACTTTACATTTCTGTTTTTGAAAGCCTCCTCACTCTTGTCAAAATAAAGCATTTGTCTGATAGAGATTTACACCAATTCCAAATATAATTCAAAGATGAAAAAAATCTGTTACTTCACCAGGGCAAGTGGACACATTTCAAAATCAGCTATTTATCTAAAACTCCTGAATACCCCAAAGCACCT